TAAGTAAAATATACAGCAATTGAGTATGGTACTCCATCTTTGCAAGCCAATGGAGCACATTAAATTATACAAGTGTGACACACGCACTTCAGCCTCTGACTAATACTGTCCCACCCTGCTTAATGAAAGACCTGAAATTTGTTCTGTGACACACCTGAAACATGTTTCTAATGCAACTCTACAGAGCTATAAATGGCAGAAGAGGAAATGTAACATGAGAATTCTGGGCCATGTATGTATTTGAAAGTGCCCGAAGTGTTGCACCACTGAGTCCATAGTTTAAAAAAAAATATATATAGAAGGCATATTTAGGAGTGAAATAACTCCACAAACTATTAACAGTAAAACTGTTCTCAACAGCAACTGGACATTTTAAATGGTTATTTAATTAAGACAGGTGAAGACAAACTTTTTGCTTTACATCTCCAGAGTCATTAAAATTTTAAGGAAAAAAAACCTGAGGAACCGCTTCATTGAAAATGAAGTTTTATGCCATTCATGCATTTTCTTGAATCTTCTGAATACTCTAGTAAATTTGGGTACAGTATGTACGCTTGTGTTTATCTTTTCAAGCTGTTCTTCTCTCAAGGAAAAGCTATTATCTCAGTTCTGTATTTTATAATGTTTGCAGTCTCAATAAGCAGAGCAAATCTTAAAAAGAGAAACATAGATGCAGTTCCTGGCTCCGGGAGTTCAAGGGCCAGTTTTCCTGGGTGCTTATTCTCCTTTTCTTACACAACGAAAGGTTTCTCGGGTGAACGCAAACAGTAGCTAGTAGTTACCCCAAATGCCTTCATAACACGAGGAGCACAGAAACACATAATTTTCCCTCTGAAGGGCCATACGGCCATTTAGAAGCAGAAAACAATCCTGTCTCTCATACTCTGCACAACACAAGATTTAGATACAGGTGGAGACAACTCCACCTATTCAACGCGAGGCTCTCCAGTGAAGCCCTCAGACCAAACCAAGCCAACACACAGCTTTATAGCCTTGATTTTTTTTTTAACTTCTACTTCAGTTTGCTTGATGTCTCCTTCTTCCATCACCTGCAACACTTCGGGCACTTTCAAAGCCTACATATGTTGTTAAAAAAAGTTCAGGCCCCTCCCCCTCTCCCGCGACTTTGACTTCAGGTGCTTTTACTTATTTATTTTGTGAACGCCAAGCCCGAAACAGCTTGCGAAGAGAAGGGAAGCATACACTGGCTGTTCGTGCTGCCTCTCTTTTCTTTTTAAAAGGAAAACACCGAAAAAAAGGAGAGATATTTACCTCTGGAAAACGCCTCCCCACGCGGAGGGGAAGGCCCTTCCGGCCGCTCGGTCGCCTCAGGGGGACGGGGCCGGACAGC